GATAGTTACGAACTCTAATATTATTACTTACAAGTGTCGATTAACATGTTAATTGATTATTTCTTCTAAAATATTAGAAAATTTATTAGCCTCAACATTTTTTAGCGACTAGCGCGCTACCAGGCATCATTAGTAATACTCTGTTATTATACTTGCAATATCAAATTGTATAGATGATGAAACTTATACCTATTTTCCCGCATAATATAGAATGTTGTACACTTTTCTTTTGGTTCATATCACTAGCTATGCTTGTTACTCTTAATAAATACATGCAAAGTTATTTACATTGTTTAATATTAATTAATTCTATTTTTCCTTCTGGAAGAAAAAACACAAAGCGTGATGTCGATACATCCTGTCAAAAGAATTCTATTTCAGTTCATACCTTAACGATGAGACACTCATATAGATATACTTACAAAACTTAAGTTGAGGATGGACCATTACTAATGAAAATATCTCATGTACTTTAGAACAAGCTAAGGGAGTCTTTAATTACCTTTACAATACACAAATGATTAAATGAGGAAATTTATATTCCTGAATTCTAACTAATTTTGCAAAGCCATTGAGGATCTAGACTGATGCGTGGAATCAGAATTGAAGTTTATGGATTCTCATAAACCTAACCAAATCCATAGCTCGTCCTAACAAGTTACTGGGTTTACAATTAAATATTTATATATAGCAGCGAGGAAATTAGAGAGACGAAGATACGTATATAGAGAGTAGTTGCATGCGCACATGCAAAGATGCATGCATGAAGACGAATGTGAAGAGGAGCCTCTTAATTAGCAGCAATCGATCTGGCATGCATCGTAATGGCAGATGCAGCTGCAGAGAGGCATGAAACTAAAGTAAGTAACTTTTTTGAAGCTATCTACTGGTCCAACTTCCAACCCATGCAGACATGTCCCTTTTATTACTACAAAGCTTCAACTTATACCATTGCTACCACAATCGTATTAAACCCATAACTTGTCCATATTTCATGCATGACTCTTGAATTGAAGCTGATCTATTCAAACTTATCTTCCTCATTCTTCCTATCTATCTATTTCCAATATTATATATATATATTACTTTGGAAAATTCTCCCCACATATGATCAGTACAGTCCAAGTCTTAATGGCTTCACCGCAACAAGGCTATAAGATCGATTGAGACGTATAGCATATGTGCTTACAATTTTTGACTAATTTCTCCGGCAGGATCTAACAAGTTGGTCCCTCTCATGAATGAAAGAGATATATAGCAGATAAGACCACAAGACATCAGATCGTCACATGGATTCATTGCTTTGTTTTAGCGTTTGTGGTGTGTTCAATGCATGAACCCCATGCAGTTTATTTTTGGTTTTATGTCAGTATTTGTTTTTGTTTTCCCCTTTTTAGTAGCATTATAAGAGCTTTCAATATTTCCGGGGAAAAAGAAAGCAAGTATATTAGACTTATTCCAAGAATTAAACAGAGATGCTGTATTGGATTCGGTAATTAAGATTTCAGCAGGATTATAGGTTCATAATTGTAGGAAGGCAAATGTTGTATTTTCTCCAATTTACTAAGGACAATAAACATAGGGACACTTACTTAAGATATAACAAAAGTTCCTTAGGCTCCCATCATTTCCTCAAAACAAACACAATCCAACATAGTGTTTGCCTAGATATGAATGCTATTGAAACACATTGCTTTTTCTTGAATCCACTAATATTATTTTCTTAGACAATCAATGACAACCAGTTTCTAAGATAATTAAGCTAACAACCGGACTAAATGCATTATTTCTTGAAGGACATTGAACCGTACGTACTCCAAATTAAAGGACCCAGGCCGGACATGTAGTAACGCAATTACATAATCTTTTAATTCATAAAACTAATTAAACTCGAATCTTGAACAATACAACAACTCTGCTGGATGGGTGTCAGGACTAACATGAACCTCGTCAGTTTTGTCTCTACGAAACTAATTGATCTAATAGAAATTGCTTCGAAAATCCTACTTGTACATTAAAATTTTCATTTGTCTCCCTGATGTATAACACTACAGCTAAGAGCCGAATATTTGGGAAATGTCGAATCGTTTTATTGCACGCACGGTGTTATCGAAATAAAATGGCTGTACTCAATTATTTATTCCTCCTTCCGTCCCATTTATGTGATTTAAAACAAATCATAAATATTTGTATGGTTAAAAATTATATTGTTACGGTTCCATGAAGCATTTCCATTTCTAAACATAGAACATTTTCATTCTTTTTGCTAGGCACATACTAAAAGAAAAGTGCATCATATAAATCGGGCGGGGAGTAAGAGTTAAAAGTACTAAAGAATTTTTATATTATCAGATCTCCTAAATGATAAATACAAGTAATTGACCAAAACAAATGCAATTGTAACCTAGATAATAAAGTAGACAACCCGCTACAACAAATTAAATTATGTTAAAATTATGGATATTTTTTACACAATAAGTTCATATAAAAAAGGGAAAATATCACATTAGAATAACTGCGCTCTCTACTTTTCAATTTTATAGCTCATATTTCAATTTACAACCAACTAGCCCAAAAATAATAGGCTAAGATTCAACATCCAACTCCAATAGATTCTCAAAATTACTATTTAATTTTTAAAAAAGATTCCTCAAGCTTTTAAATTAATTTTCGAATCAGTAACTGTGGCTCAATTATTAGTTCAACAAACCAAATTCATTTTGGTGAAAAGTATGCAACAAGGGTATTCTTTGGTATCCATCTATTAACTCCAGGATTAATATTTGGTATACCAATTGGATTTACAACTCAAATTCCCTTAGAAGCTCAATAGAAGGGCCTCTAAGTAGGAACGGCCTAATTCTTACTATAGGAAACCTCATCCATAACAAGGAATGGAATACAAAAGATATTTCCTTTGACCTGCCCGGTGATATCCTTAACAATCTTAACATTACCCCGTCTCTTGTGAGGGATCAAATATTGATAAAACTAGCTGGTGCCTCAACTCAAATGGTCTTTTTTCCACCAAATCTTGCTATAAGCTCCTTTCTGAAAACAAACCTACTTCCAAGTCTTTTGAGTGGATTTGGAACCTCCATTGCACAAATAAAATAAAGTTCTTCCTTTGGCAATGCATGCACAATCGTATTCCTTGCCGAGCCTACCTAGCCAAAATAAGTATCAATATTGATGCTACATGTACCATTTGCAAATCTAGGGTAGAGGACATCCAACACATTTTTGTTAATTGTCCAGTCTCTAACCGTCTCTGGCAAAAAATGGGTCTTCCCTCTATAAACATTATTACTAACACAAATTGGCTAGTAAAGTTGAGGGATATCTTTATTCAAAACTGTAAACTCCAGATAAAGTGGACTACCTTATTTCCCTTCTCCATATGGGAATTATGGAAGAACATAAATCATAGTAATATCAACAATCTTAACAATTATTTGAAAATAGGGAAAATTATCCATCCATCTTGGAAATTCATTTTTTAACTGAAAAAAATCTGTTCTTGCAAAAAACAGTCACAATTGAGATCAGTTGGAACAAACCTCCTAAAGGTATGATCAAATTAAATTGTGATGGTGCTTTTTCTAGTAACAATAATGCAGTTGGGCTTGGCGGAGCATTCCGAAATAGTAAAGGAGATTGGATTGTGGGATACCACAAAGCAAGCCAAGCAATTTTTCCTACACATGCAGAGCTATTGGCACTTCTAGAAGGACTAAAAATTGCAAAAGAAATGAACTTCCTAAATCTAGAAATTGAAACTGATTGTACGAATTTCATCAAACTTATATATGAGGATAGCTCTAACTTCTCTAATATTGTTTCTGAATGCAGATGGTTAATGCACCAATTGAAGCTCCCACACCTGAAACATAATTTCAGGGAAGGAATGAGGTGGCACATTTATTGGCCAAGCAAGCTATCAAGAGCCCACCATCATCAAAGTATTTTTACCATGCCTGTCCACCCTTTTTTGTCGAACAAGAAGTGATCAAGAACAAGCATGGAGTTTGTAATAGTCTTAGGAATATTTCTACAAATGTTTGTAACTATTTGGCAACTATGGGCAGCAGTAATGCCCTAAAAACATCTACTATGCCTATGTAGTTTTTATTCTGTTCTAAGTAATATCCATGTGTTGCGTTAAAAAAAATCCATTTGAGTGGTGAAATTAGATTTTAAACAAGCTTAAATATGTGGGTTTAAATTCCGAATTTGATTTTGTGAGAAATTTGGAATGGGTGTTATTTAGACTTGTTAAAAATAATATAAGGAGGTTGTATATAAAATTTGAAGTCATTTAATGGAGATTTGGACTGGTTTTGAACAAGAATTGCAACTGAAAATCGTGAAAGAAGTTCGTCTACAGACGCTTGTATGAAGGTGTATAATAGTGTATAAGGTGTGTTTCTACACTCATATACACTATTATACAAGATTATACATAATAATACAAAAAACTGACTTCGTCTTCTTCCTTGCGTCTTTTCTGAAATTTAACTCAAATCTTGCTCAAATCTACTCCAAATCACTTGAAATTTAAATTTTGAACTCCTTTTGATATTTTCAATCAATTGAAACAATACCTAATCCAAACAACTAACAAATTTAAGAAAACCCATTTTCGAAAGCAAAGCTTTGAATGGTCTTCAATGGTGGACTTCTACTCTTTAATTTTCTTACATTGTAAGCAGGTGACACAAGAGGAGAAGCAGAAAATACACGGCCCCTTGAAGCATATGTAGAAGATGTGAGAAGAAGAGAGAGTGAAAGCAATAGTTGTGAGAACACAGATTTAACTCCATAGCTTTTAGAAGCAATGGTTGTAAGAACACAGAATTTGACTTTGCTAGTGCTTTTAAAGTATGTACAATGTGGGCTAGGTCGGGTAAAACTTAAAAACATAGGCCATTTTTGTTATGGTGTGAAGTCATATGTATTTTCTTGTAATTCTTTCTATAAAAAATGCCTATATAACTTATCCGGTTTTGCCTTTCTCTCTGGGGCACTGCTTCATTGATTGGACTTGGTCCCTATGCTTCCTTGCCCATAACTACTTCCCTCTTTATTATGCTATATATAGCTAAAAACACATATCCAAGACACTCAGGAGTCAGAACCAAGTTTTCAAAGCACAAAAAATATAGCGAGAAAAATGGCCTGCTGGTCTGCTGAAAATGCTACCAAAGCCTATCTCAGAGCAATAAAAATGGTTAGTACATAATATTACTTTACTACCTGCTTTCAAATGAATTCATATCAGTAATATTTTCAACCTTTAAAGTTCCCTATATTGTTTTCCTTTTCTAATCTTGGATTCATTTGGTATTTTTCAGGGAAAGAGAGCAAAGGAGCCAGATATGGCAGAGTTCATTTCAGCACTTGCTGCAGGCAACAATGCACAACTAATGGTTGTTGCATGTGCCGATGCAGCCGGCTCGGCCACCGCACTAGCTCTGGTGGCTGCAGCCCAGCAGACGGGTGGCCGAGTCATCTGCATCATTCAATCAGCTGACAAACTCAATCCATCAATAGAATCTCTAGGCGATAACGTGACACACGTTGAATTTGTCATTGGAGACGCCTTAACTCTACTAATGAATGACTACAGAGAAGCAGATTTTGTACTCATTGACTGCAACCTCAACAATTGTGAAGGCATTCTTCAAACAGCAAGAATGATTGGAGAAAATGTGAGTGTTTTGGGATACAACGCGCTATCTATGGGTTCGTGGAGATGCCAAAGCTTCAATGCTCATTTGTTACCTATAGGAGGAGGACTATTAGTAACAAATAGAGTGGCTAAAAAAGGAGGTAATTTGGGAGTTTGGGGAAAAAAGAATCGTTGGATTGTGAAAGTAGATAAATGCACAGGGGAAGAGCATGTTTTCAGAATCAGGTCTTCACATGCAAAGCCAGTTGAAGCTTAAGCTCTCTGATTTTATGAACTCTGCTTTCATAGATAGGAGAAGAAGTTTTTTTCACCATACATCTCAAATGCTAAGCTGAGATCTGGATTCTCTCCTTAATAGTACTAGGCTATGATTTTGAACTGTGAATACTTGCAATTATTAATTAATCCTAATATTGATTAGTATATACTTTGCCATTTTGAATCTCGCAAATTTTGATCCATCGAATTACAGGGCTTCTTCTTCTTCCATACATTGTTTATTTTGTAGTCGAAATCTAACTCAATCTCATTAAAAACTTTCCAAGATTAATTATCAAATTGCTAAACTTTGAGTACAAGAGAATGTGTACTTGTTGACGTGAAAGGTGAAATTTAACCACTGGCAGTTGACCTAAGTTGATGAGGACTAGGATCGGTAAATTTATCAAATTTCACCTTTAAATCGAGAATTCAACTCATATAAATCTCCAATTTTTAATATTTCTCTTGCCATAACTTGAGATGTAACATGGTTAACATCTTCAAGGTACATTTCATTTATAATAAAGACCACGCAAACTGAGGGGCTCAATGTGGGAGAAAACTTACTTATACTCATTGTTTACATCAGATCAATAAATATGTAACATATATAATTTATATGTTTTTCATTTATTACCCCTCAATATATGTATACGGATTTCATTAACCCCTCTTCATTTTGGATCGCATCAGCCAGCTTTCACCAAGTTGTGTATGAACCAACTACACGTTCTGGTTTCTGCTGATTATTATTTTTCTTCCTTGGTGTAGATCATTCCTTAATCAAAGGGTTACACGTCTAATCTGGTGAGCAATACCAAACCAATAATCTAGTATTAATATGATCAGTATATGTTGACTGAATTTCCTTAAGCTAATTAAACAGGATCGTGAGAAGATGCTTATCTGCAACTCATCCACATGAACAACCACGCCGTACACACGCGTGTGCCTGTGGCATCATGTTAGCTAATACAGCAGAGTCTATTGATAGTAGCTGAGGTAGGATTTTCATGGGATTCTAAAAATTAAAAAAATAAATACGAAAAGACTAAGGAGATTCAACATAAAATATATATACATACAAATATTTTTGACCTTAATATAATTTTTCGGCGGAGGCTCCATCCTTGTTTATTAGGGCAAACTAGTAGGACTTCTCCACATTAAGGACATTGCAAGTTGGTGCAGCTATGTTCACCATTAAGTTAACACTGCCAATACAACACCCAAATAATTAGCTCACAGCTTCTTTAATCATATTGTTATGAATTCACTCAAATCTATCTTCTGTCATATCTGCATTTTCTTTATATCATATTTCTCTTGGTATACGATAAGGAGAATAAAGTAGAATAAAAAGAAAGTTCCAAGAAGTGTCTTTTATAGACTATTGGGTCCATATAGAACGTGCGGGAAGAATAGTTTAATTCTGTTCCTCCAATACCACAACTGCAGAATCAGAAGATTAATTATGGGGCCTCAAAAGACCAGGGGACAGAGAATTTATGCACGTTGTTTCTCTGTTAGAGAAGAAGCTTGCAAATGATTTGGATCTAGATCTCTGCTTGGCTATCCAGAGGCAAAGCTTACTGTGAGCTGTTCTGCTTCTGAACAACCCGCTATTCTGATGCTTTCTGCCATTCAAGGGTCACTTCGTATTCATACAAAATGATTAATTTTCCTAGATTATCGTGTTGTTTTGATGGAGGGAAGCATCGCGCAGCCATCAGCTGCCTATCAAGAGGTCATATGCATGGGCAGCTTAAGACCCGGGCCGGCTAGCGGAGGCGGACCTATGCTATCCCGGAATGGGTCACCGGAACCCGTAAAGTTCGATAAAACTTTATGTATATATTTGTATGTCCTTAGAAACTAGTAATATATAGTAGACACCCTATATATATAACGACCCGACATGTCATTTTGAGTATCAGCACTTCGCTCGGTATCTCAAGGGCTCGAGTATCTCCGCGTGATGTATTATGGCTTGCATAAATCGTCGGTATGGGTTTTCAAGTTATCCGGAATCGAATTGGAAGAATGAACTTCAAGATTTGAGTTCTACGTTGGAAGAGTTGACCAAGTTTGACTTTTTAGTATTTGATCTCGGATTGGAATTTTGATGGTTTCATTAGCTCCGTTGAGTGATTTTGGATTTAGGAGCGCGTACAGATTGTAATTTGGAGGTCCGTAGTTGAATTAGTCTTGTAATGGCGAAAGTTGAATTTTTTAGAAGTTTGACCCGGAGTGGACTTTTTGATATCGGGGTCGGATTTCGATTCGGGAAGTTGGAATAGGTCCGTAATGGCAAGTGTGACTTGTGTGCAAAATTTGAGGTCAATCGGAGGCGATTTGATAGGTTTCGGGATCGGTTGCAGAAGTTGAAGTTTCAAAATTCATTGATGTTGACTTGAGGTGTGATTTGTTGTATCGAGGTTGTTGTTATGTGTGATTTGAAGATTTGAGTAGGTTCGTTTTGTCATATAGAACTTTTCTGTAAAATTTGGCGCCATTCGGAGTTGATTTGATATGGTTCGGACGCTCGGTTGCGATTCTAGAAGTTCTTGAAGTTTAGTTTGATTTTCATGTGTTTTGGCGTCCGATTCGTGGTTTTAGAAGTTATTTTGATGATTTGAGCGCGCGAGCGAGTTCGTGTTGTTTTTTTAGACTTGTGTGCATGTTTGGTTTGGAGCCCCAAGGGCTCGGATGGGTTTCAGATTTGTTTCTAATGATTTTTCTTAATTGTTGATTGATGCTTCTAGTTTCTTCGCATTTCGATGTTCTGGTCGCAAATTCGGCCCTCGCCTTTGCGAAGAAACCTCGCATTTGCGAAGCCTGGGAGCCTGGGCAATAGTTCGCATTTGCGATGAGGCTGTCGCATTTGCAAAAGCCGGTCTTCGCATTTGCGAGCTTTTGGTCGCAAATGCGACCTTAGCAGGGAAGTCTCCAGGTTCGCAATTGCGATGAGTTTTCCGCATTTGCGAACCCCCTGTCGCAAATGCGACATCAGCGACCTGTTAAGTGCTGAGAATTCCGAGTTTTTGCTTCATTTTTCATATTTTTGAACCCTAGCTTCGAGATGAGGCGATTTTGAGAGGGGATTTTCATACGAAAACATTAGGTAAGTATCTTTAATCAACTTCCAACTATGTTTCATGATTTTATACAAGATTTAACATCAAATTCATGGGAAATCTATGGAAAAATTTGGGAATTTTGTCAAAGTTTTGAAAAATAAAAATTTGAGATTTGAGAGTCGAATAGGACTCGGATTTGAAACAAAATACATATTTGGACTAGTGAGGCTATGGGTAGTCAAGACCTACCCTTGGAACCGGGTTTTGACCGGGGGGCTGTGGTTTGAATTTTGTTGACTTTTTTAGAAATTGGATAAAAATTACAGCTTTATTAATTGAAATTATTTTCTCTTGCATTGTGTGATGCATTCAAGTCATCTTTGGCTAGATTGAGCTGAGCGGAGATGAATTTGTAGAGGAAAAGGCTAGAGTGAGTGTTGAGTTAGCCGAATTGAGGTAAGTGTTTTGCCTAACTTTGTTGAGGGAATTTTTCCTCCTATTTGTCATTGTTTGCTATGTGCGGGGGTGATACATGTATATGTGCTGGGATTAATCATGCTCGGGGGTAGATTAGGCTATAATTGTGTCTTGTAGAATTACGTAGCTTCCTTGCTTCGTGCTCCACTCGATTTATCGATATTAAGAACGTAGTATAAAATGTTAGTAATCAAGACTTAGCCTAATATAACTTGATCAAATTTGATAGAATTCCGAGAATATGTTGATGGGTCTAGTTTGGTCATCTCTATGCGTAACCACTACTACACTGCTATGGTCGATATTTTGAAATGTTGGATTCTATAGTTGTGTTGCTGATAAATTATGAGATTTGTGGAAGTACTTGAATTGTACGACCCTTGAGGGCTTATTGAATCATTGTTGGCTTGGAAATTCCGTGATTGAGAATTTGTTGGAATATTCGTTTGAACACTCTCATCGATGTTATTTATACTTCCTGCATTGTCATTTTATTGATATCATATGCTTGGTAAGGAAGAGTATAAAGCACGAAGGGTGATGGCATACCATTTCATATGCATTATTATGTGAGGAAGAGTGTAAAGCACGAAGGGTGATGCCGTGCCATTTCATAACATTATCATGTGAGGAAAAGTGTAAAGCACGAAGGGTGATGCCGTGCTATTTCATTTATATTGTTATGCTTTTAATATTGTGAGGTCATAGCACGAAGGGTGTTTCCGTGAAAGTGAGGATGAGGGACATGCATTATGATGTGATATCTGTTTTCCGTGTATACATTTTCGCCTTTATCTTGAGCTGTTATTGCCGCAATTAAATTTTCTGAGTGATATGTTGTTATTGTCCCGTACTTGACCTCTATCTCAATTGTTGTTGCGTTGTCCATGTCTTTTACTTTCTTAATTTGCATATGCCATGCCTATTTCCTGCGTTTGAAATTATACTCATGTCATGCATATTCTGTCGCACTCTAGTTAAGCATTCCATCATGTTAGTCATTCATGCCCTTACTTGCTAACTTGTAAAGATCATGTGTTTCCTCCTTATCTGTCATGTTTGGACCTCGGCCCCTAATATATATTAGTTAATTGACGCTGATATCCCTTGCTTTCCAATTGTTGTTATTACTCCTTCACTATGGTCCACATGTATATCCTTGTCCATTGTTGTTACTTGCGTATTTCATACTTTGTATCTTCTATTATTGTGTTTTTATCATATGGTTGGTTCTGTTATACGTTCATTTGGAAGGATGAGTTGAACGCACGAAGGATGTTGCCGTGCTAATTGAATTGTTACATAAATTTTATTTACACATGGTGAGGATGAGGTAAAAGCACGAAGGGTGTTACCGTACCATGTGATTTGACATTTTGACATTTTAAGTATACTTCTTATACCAGGAAAGATCGTAAATATTCTACTGTGGTACCTTTTAGTAATTATTGACTGTCTTGCCGAGTTGTATATGATACTTTATTTGTTATGCCTTGGACTGCTTTAGTGTTAATCTTTTGTACAGGTTA